AAGTAATTTAGCCGGCAGTGTCTGCTGTTACTCTATTTTACTGCCATATCCGATACTGTTGAAGCTAATTGTCTTGTTTTTAAATGGTGAGATGGCATTGAGACCTATTAAATTTTAACATCATCCAATAAACCTTCTCACATCTTAAATCTATATTCCTCAGACCATTCAACCACTCCCTACTGTCTGACGACGAACTCTGGAGCCCTGCTAAGAACCACTTATACATGGAGGTCAGGTTCTTTTTGGGAGCTTCACGATTTCACTGGATTGGTCTAAAAAATATGTATATAAAGGCCTTTAAAAAGCTTATTTGACTGTAGATCATTTGAAATCTTGTGTAAATACTTTCAGATTGTGCCCAAGGATATATTTGTGCAGCTGTTTTTGTACAGAAAGTTGTTCAGTTCACTCCTTGGGGCAAATTTTTACTTTTATCAAGATACAATCTTTTGAAATGAGACACCCAGTTGAACAATCCTGTGAAAGAGATTTTTATTAAATAAGCACCTGTTTTCCTTGATGGTTGGATATGAGAAACTTTTCCAAGCGACGGTGAATTCCCATCAGAGATTCTTACTTGTCAGCCTTTTAAACTACACAAGGTGACAAGTCATTTTGAACCTTTAGGATAAACCCTCTGTTTTATGTACTGTTTGGGTCTCGCTGCTGTTCAAACACCAAACTGCAGAGGAGGACGAGCACAGAAGAATGCAAAGCAGGAGATAAGAGAGGACAAAAAGAAGTATCTGTTTTGTCTTTTTTTAGTCTCTCACTGTGTGAACACAGCAGAATTTCAGTAAAAGCTGGCAAAGCGCACCGTTTCATATGACCCCGTGTTATCCAGAGACCACAAAAAGACAAAGCTGTCTGCTGAATGTGGAGCCAGAACAATGGCAGCGTTTCTGCAGTACAGATAAGACCAAGCTGTTCTGTACCAGCATGGCACTGGCTTTCTGAGTGTTTGGATGTCTATGTCAACCTGGAGCAGAGTGGTACAGAGAGCACAGTTTCTTTAAACACTGTTTATTGTCCTCTAACACTGACGTCAAATGCATTACATACCCCTGTCTGGGGGCATCTTGCCACAGCTGATACTTGCGGGGCTGTTGTTTCTCTGCTCGTGTCCTGTGTATGATTGCCATCGCAGGTTTGATCTGAGGCTGTTTGTAATATATGCACTTTGCCCTTTAGTGCTGCCATTGTTCTTAGGCTTCTCTGCTGCTGCAGAGATAGGATGTGAGAGCCAGGGCTGGGTCCAGCTCTCATAAAGATAGGCACACATGGTGACGTAAGAACAATGTTCCACGACAGGTCATACAACCAACTGTTGCCCGGCCCGTATCCAAAGCATCTTTATACATTCACACACATACATACACATACACACAGACACAAACGCTAATTAGTAAACTGTACATAAGGCTAGGGTTCAGCTGCTGAAATGCTAAAGTTATCACGGAGTAGCTAAGTGATTTCCAAGAGCTTATTTAATTTTTAAAAATAATTTATGTTGAACTTTTGACAGAAATTTTAAGGTGTGCCTTTGCAGCCTTGTGGATGCCTATTTAGTTTTTTTTTTTTTTTACATTTTGGAGGCATGTAAATATATTCCTGAGCCTCTACAATGAGACGTGCTTGATTTTAAGTTGAGCAGGAATTCGATGACAACATAACTACAGGAACACCTTTTTTTTTCAAACCTTGCTTTATTTGTTGCTGTAAGTTTTGTTTGACATGAGGAAGCTTCTAATCCGTGTCCATCAACTGACAGAAAGATGTTGTTTTCTCAGACAGAGGGGCACAGAGGCAGGTCGCAGCATGCATTTGTGTGTCTCTGTCTCTGACTGTAATATTAGCTGCACCTGCCCTGAGTCACAGTTGCTGAGTTTGGAGGCATTTGATAAGGGACAGATAGAGTGGTAAAAGGCAGAGGAGTGGGTTAGAAAACAGCTCCAATCACTGACTTTTTAAACTCTATCCGTTTATGGCTGTCTCCTACTTGCTGACTGCCTCTCATGCTGTCAGCCCAGTACAATGAGGCTGTCTGTTATGAATGTGCTTCCAGCCGTTGTTCGGCGCCTAATATTTTTTTAATTATCTGTGTAAATTTTCGTCTTTGGAGACTTCATGGCAGACTGAAGCTCAAGAGTCTCATGGCACAGTGGCTGAAAGTTAAAGTGGGGCCTTTATTGTTTTTGTTGTTGCGGAGAGGGATGTAGGGGTGTGAGCAATTATGAAAGGGGTGTGGTTTGGAGTTATGGAGTGTTGACATGTAGGGTGAAATTATGTGTTTTGGATAACCCTAGTGGTTGGAATTAGACTGGGTGTGTTCACACAGGGACTCTGAAGTCATGAAGTATGCAAACTGTTCTGTCCACAGTATTTACATGTTGACTCCGAAACCAAACTCCTTATAGTAGCTCTAACTTACTCTCAAGATATCTGTCATGTTGACTTCCACACAGTTCTGTTGAGGAGGAACATTGTATCCAGTAAGGACTACTCAGCTTACTCTAAACTCTTTATTTTCATTCATTTTGTATCGTTTCAATTTAGATTATTGGAAGTGGATATTTCGTTTCTCTTCTTCAGAAAATTGGAGGTAAGATAAGAAAAAAAGACCCAACATTAAAAAAAAAAAAAAAGTTCTTATAATTATTTGGCCCGATCTGTGTAAAACGTAAACTGCAATCTGCAATTATCGGATTCTCCAGTTTCCACCATACCTGAGTGCACCTTGTGTGACATCTGCTACTCCGGCATGACAATGTCTTACTCTGTGTTGACCTGGCAGTTTGTGCCTGTTATCAAGCTGCTCTGCTAGCATATAGCTAACTAGCGCATGTTTGATAATAATTTTCTTATGCAAAACAAATATATTATTATTGAGTTGTGAATATAAGTAAGAAAATACATTTCAAAAGTTACATATTTTGTAGCATTGTCTGTGGATTTGCAAAGGCAGTCCTGGTCAGAAACAAATTCTGTTTGGGGGGCCTAGGCATGGAAATGTTTGGGAACCCCCCGTACTATGTTACAGTTGGACATCTATCACTCTATTTTACAAACAATTGTTCCTGGTTGTATGTCATAGGTGTGCTTTGTGAGCAAGAGCCTACTTACACAACCAGCCCATCTGTTGTGTCTTAGTTTCAGTGAGAAGAGACACAAGAGCTGGGGTCGGATGGATGTCTGGTTCTCAGTGCTGCTGTTCTACCTACGTCTCAGAGAATAGACAGCAACCTGAGACCCACATGACCTGTTTGTTTCCTGTTAGTGCACATTATCTGGTTTCAACAGCCAGGAGGGACAGGAATGGACATCACGGGAGGGTGACATTTTTAGCTGGAAGATGTTTGTGTACACATTGTTATGATACAGCAGAAACCAGGACAGATACATTCTTTAAAATCCCTCTGGTCGGAGTCTGTGTGTCAGCTACATGAACTCCAACAGTTTAGAAAGTATTTTCATTCATAGATATATAAATGCCATTAATAGATGAATGCCTTAAAGGTTACATTCTGCTGCTAGCCCATAACATTTGAATAATATTAATAATTATATTTTGCAAAAAAAGAAAAAAGAAGAAGTTGTCACAAATTAGATTAGATAAATACAACTGAACATAAATTGTACCTTAATAAATCAGAGCAAATGTTGGTTACTTCTTTAATTATGACCCATTTAAACCTATTCACGTGTTATTTCTCAGAAAAATGTTGACCTACCTGCTTTGTTGAAAATGTG